ATTTCAACAAAAATTGAATATATGGGGTTCTTTGATATGCTGAATCTAACCATGTATTTTGATTTTTGGGCCCCGTTATCAAATTGGTCCACATTGAGATCAAAAGGGTCCAAAATTAAACTTTGTTTGATTTCATCAAAAATTAAATTCTTTGGATTCTTTGATATGCTGAATCTAACCATGCATTTAGATTTTGGATTTTGGACCATAATAGGTAAATTAAAAATTTTTGTAAGTTCTTAGACCACATTCATTCTGTATCAGAAACCTATGCTGTGTCAAATATTTAATCACAATCCAAATTCAGAGCTGTATCAAGCCTGAATGTTGTGTCCATACTTGCCCCAACTGTTCAGGGTTCGACCTCTAAGGTCGTATCAAGCTGCGCCCAGCGGAGCATTTTATTTATATTGAGGTGTGAGTGTTTGACATTTCTTTTTCTGTACAGTATATGCAATATAATATTTAACTCTCCACAAGAAACCAAATGACACAGAAATTAACAACTATAGGTAACCATAAGGCTTTCAACAGTGAGTAAAATCCATACTGCAATGTCAACAATACAAGGTCCATTTATGAAAAGGGTTTAACAATTCAAACAAGAAATCTAATGGCCTGATTGATGTACAAAATAATAACAAAAAAAACAAATATGATATACAGCAACAAACGACAAGTGAATTACAGGCTCCTAACTTGGGAAAGGCACATACATAATAAAGGCATGATAATAGATTTCATCATTATCACAAGCCCTACAATTTTATGTTCTTGTTTGTTTTTTGTTATGTTTTTCCCCACAGTAAGCAAATCTATAAAACCAAATTACATTTGTAAAAAAACACCGGAATACATCCGACTATTCTGAATTGAAAAGGACCAGTCAGACTGAGAATCAGAACATGTATTTATGTATACAATGTATCTAAATTATCACTGCACATGATTCCATCCTTTTTCAATCTTTAAACCAAGCTATAAGAGAACAAAAATCATTCCAAGTATAAATAATATTTTTATTATCACACATTTATTTATAATGTCATGAATGTACATGCATATTCAATAATTTCTTTTCTTACAGCATATGACCATAGGGTTACAAATTCTACATCTAACCTGTCTAAAGAGAAATCCAACAAAATTGAAGTAAAAAAAGAAAAAATTACAGATGGTAAATGCAATTTCAGTAACACATATGACACAATATTTCACACTGCCTACATAAATACTGCAGACAGCATCATATCAGATCCTATTTAAAATCTATTTGGAGATTCAGCTATAACCGAAATTACAAATCAATGTAAGACAAACAATGCAGTTGAACAATTTTTCCAAAGCTTATTCAGTGACTTGTTCAAATTTAATGCCAATTTATGCCTGTCTCATGACAGAGAAATGTTTTTCTCCAAATTCCATAAAAAAAAATTAAGTAAATCAGTGACAGAGGCATACAGCACCCTGTTTAGTAGTACGTCCCAAGAGAAAATAAATCTTGGATCCCACTGGAATTCCGATGGGATTCAGATTGGAATCTCACTGGGATATTGTGGGATTTTGATTGGAATATACTGGGATTCCCGGAAAAAATAGGGATCCTGAAATAAATCCCAGCAGGATATACTGGAATTCCATGTACGTACTTGACTCTACTGGGATTCCTGGTTTATTTATTTATTATCATTGCGTAAGTTGCGAAAGGATACATGATGTAAAGTTCTCCTTTCTGTAAATAAATTTGCTGTCTCTGTACTTCCAACTAGTATTGCTGAGTAAAGGTAACTGGAATCTCAGGCAATCTGTTTACTATCAAAATTTGCAGCTTCATTTAATCAAATCATTAAATCCCCTAAAAGTATAAAAAAAAATCCACAAAGAATCAATTGTTCAAGACGTTTTGAAGCAATAAATTCAATAGAAATATTATTGCATGTTTATACAGTAGATTGGAAGCCATTTGGAATCAAATTAATTACCCTCCCCTTTTTTATCTCCTGAAGATAAACAACTAGCGACTTATCATTTTCACCAAATAACCATTCACACAACTCATTAAATGTTTACATATCTACCAGTAATGCCTGTTATGTGACAACAAGATAATTCATTGTTTTATGTTAAAAATAAATATTTTCAGTTCATGCTTTCAAACTTTCTGATGTTGATTTGCTAAAAAAAAACCATAAAAAAATCATAGTTCTTCAATGAATTTTTTTTTATAATCATTATATACACATATACACATGTTAACTTTAATTGTTAATGCACTTATCTGAAAACATCTGCATCGTATTCCTCCATATTCAGCGTAATCAGATTTTGATGACGTATTTATCCAGTACACTAACGTCGATGTGACAATCTCGCCCCATATTATACCGACCAGAAGTTGATCTGTCCCCGTAACGGTATTATAAAAATAAATCAAGGGTGTCGCATAAAAAAATTATTACTAGCCATTTTTAAATATTAGAAAAAAAACAACTTCAATTTAATCGGCACAGGCTGCATGCGAATGAACTAGTGGCCGCATTATCTAGGACGGTATTTTCTAGGGTCGGACTGTTCAGTACAATTACAAAAAAAAGACACGTGGTCATGACTTGTTTACATTTTACATAAGTTGAGAAACCAACGTGTTACGATGTCAATCATTGGCCTATCACTGATATATGCCGGACAACAATTAATAGAACACTAATGTGAACCTTGGGGAAAATCAGAAACGCCCCAGCGTGTCTGGCAAAACAGCCGTTGACGTTTCTCGGACGCCCTGCTATTTTTATCGCGAAAATCTCGGCATTTTTCTTACTTGGAAATACTAAGTCCAATAAATTATGACGTCTTGAAAGGCTATTATATTTTTTTCTTTGACGCCTTACATCGTCGCAGATAGGCGTCAAAGCAAAAATTTAAAATAGCCTTCCATTGTTCCAAGACGTCATAATTATTTGGACTAAGAAATACTTTCAAACTGAAATTCGTAATTCATCCATGAACAAGAAGTTCAGCTACATGTAGCTGTGTAAACTGTCAAATTAAGTGACCCATTAAGTGATTGGCTTCACCTGACAGCTTTGGTGTCATACACATTGTTAATTAACCCCAATAACCTTTGCTTTATGTCATAAATAATTGTGTATTTCAAAAATGTTTGACAAAAAAGGAAGGCGTCCCAGAAAAAAATTAAAATACTAGACTTGCCAGACGTCATAATTATTTGGACTACTTACATGGTGTAAATGGATTAAAAACATATTTGTTAAAACAACCATGCTATTTGAATAGATCCATATGTATTTCAGATTCTTCACTCAACAACTTCCTGTTTACCAAACACTTACATATTTTTCCACACAAAATTCTGGTTTATGTTTTCCCGTTTCAACTAGAATGGGATCCCGGCTTCAGACAGTTATCCCGAATGGGATCTCAGTTTCAGATATTTATCCCCTTTCAACTAGAATGGGATCCCGGCTTCAGACAGTTATCCCAAATGGGATCCCAGTTTCAGATATTTATCCCGAATGGGATTCCGACTTCAGATGCTTATCCCGGCTTATCCCGCCAATTTCACCGGGATTTCATTGGGATCCCGCTTGGTCCCGTTTTCATTTTCTCTCGGATTTCCTGAATCCGAATCCAAAACTTCACGCAAGTGTTCATGCTTGAGCTCATAAATCATCTTCTTAATCAACAATGTTTACATGAAAGACAGAAATCTGAAATTCAACAATCTGAACTTTCTGACAAAGACCAGAGCATTCTATTTTATATTAGTGGCTACATCATAAGAGCTTGCAGCAAAAAAGTGTGGTAAATTAACAGGTGAAAAAAAGTTTCAAAAATGACTTGTATAGACAGATTGAGGTCGCAATCGAGCACCTCTTCATTCCTCACCAGATTTACTAAATATACCATTAAGAATGACCGTGGAGGGCTCATTGTGCCATGTGACAACTTTTACCTCCTAATCCGTGATTTGGAGATGGTTGTGAAGAAAAATATTTCATCTAACATATGTGCTTCATCGTTCTTGTGTAAAAAAATACAGGAGAATATAATGGAATCCTATATGGTTAAATACTATTCGGAAAAGGTGTTTACAGAGTTCGATTTTTCTCAATACATACTTGTTTTTGGGGATATAATCAAACTGTTTATAACCATTCGTGGAAATGCTTTCACTCGTGTCAATCGAAATAACATTAGACAGAACAAAAAAGTTGCGAAAAAAAGCTCAAGCAGTCTGAGACAAGCATTGAAAGAAAGACATGTTAATAAATAAGTATGAAAGACAATAGTTAATTTAAAGTATGAATGACAATACAAATACAAAATATATGTACACAAATTACTTATATTATTTCTTAATAATTACAGTATTTAAAAGGTTTTATATGAACAGATGAAAATGTACATTACCTTACATGTAGATGACTATGTATGCATGTATATATATGTTTTAAATATGAATTATGGCTATCTATATATATAGCTACAGACTACAGTGTACATCATTATATTCATAAATGAAATTTGTCAAACATATGTTCTTTGTTTTAGTTACTTGATTTTAAGCAAATATATACAACAGTGAAAATGCATAGTCCGATTAAATTAGTCACATGAGCTTGTTATGAAATTACCTGTGTATCTAACATGTATCAAATATGAAAAAAAATAATACTTCATTATAAATATTACAATGTATTACATTATGGACTCTGATGCTTTTTAAATTTAAGTTAAAACTGACAGATTTATATAAATACCTTCTATATATTATACATGTATGTTATACCTTTTATAGAATGTACGTATGAATTTAATATTAAAGTACATGTGAATTCATAATAAAAGTAGAAAAGTTATACTAGTTGTTTGTCATTTCCCTCACAATTCAGCAGTCAACATACTTTCCCCAGTCTATTTTCTTCTTGGTAGCTTAGTATTGTCTATTGGTATATTTTCCTTGTTTACACTGATATTACCTCTCTTTGGTTGGAGAGCCTGGGAACTAACGGCACGGAGCGTTGTCATCATATTTCTTACGTCATAAACTGTCGGATTATTGTTGGCTCCTGATTTGTGTCTATAATGTCCAAAGTGTTGTTCCAGAGGATCTTGGTTAAAGTGATGAGCTAGTATAAAGTCAGCACCAGACCCAAGCATAAATTTAACACATTCAGTAATGGATTTTACACTGATTTTCAGTCCATCTAATGTTTGTCTACTCAATGTCATGGCTGCCTTTTGTGTAGCGGTTGCAGCAATGTTTCTATTTTCAATATTTTGTCGCCACTCCTCAAAGTATCCAAGAAAAGTTGTTGTCAGCCACTCCAAACGGTTGTCATTCACCACTGTATATGGGTCCAAATCTGGATTTCGTTTGTTGCGACCTTCAAACAGACTCCTCACATTAAGACAATAAAAAAATCTTCTAAAATGTCTTAATGAAACATACAGTTTCTGAAACACTTTCGTCGTAAAAATGTTTTAACGCATTTGCCACAGTTCCACTTAATATCTGAGCGGCCAGATTGACTTTCATATAACTGAAAGCTGTGAGATCAATATGCGGTCTGGATGATTTTGGACATGGACTATGAATGTCCTGTTCACAATGTTCTAAAAACAAACGGACCAAGTGCATCCAAGAAATGTCTTTTTCCCTTTTTCATAGCTGACGAGTTTTCTAGTGGGATTACGAATTGCTTAAACAATTTCTGGCTGTCTTTAACAGATGTGGCACATCAGAAATAAAATATAAGTTACGGTTCTCATCATGGGGGTTCTTGGTGAAATACACAGGTTCTCGACTGTTGTCTAATTTGTGCAACTGGAAAAATTTTCTGTTTGCAGAGGCTCCGTCACAAGTACAAAATAGGACTTTAAGTTTAACTTAGCATTCAAGGATTGATACAGCTTTCCAAAAGATCTGATATATAAAAAGTCTGCAGTTATACTGTTTGTTGCAAAGCCTGCGAAAGGAAACTTTAGATTCGTAGTTATACCTCGGACCATTATCACTAGCATGAACTTTGCCACTTGTGTTGGTTTGCTGTCATTTACAGCTTTCTGTAAGTTCATGATTTGGTTGCTTATCGAGTCTAAATCACAGTATCCAATTAATTCTCCTGTGTGCTTGTCATAAATAAGGTCCTCTTTAATCCGGATCTCATCAAACAATAATCCTACATAATTTTTGTAATTCTCTTCAAACATACCTACAATAATAATAAAATCTCAAATTATTTTGTCACATTATTGTACAAATATATATGTATACATGCAGGGCTCACGCTAGCAGGCGACTGGGGCGACAAAGTCGCTTTCCCGTCCGTCACTTTGCTTTGCCCGACCGTCAAAAGCGAAATCTAGTCGCTCTGTTGTTCACGATACTCGCTTTCAGTCGCTTTCGTCATCGGCAATATTCAACATTTAGCAAGTCGATGACCCAGCAATTTTTCATTTGAAAGTAAAAAAATTCAAAGTCATAAACGATTTATTTTCTTTAGAAAAGAGGTTAAAGCATTGATTTTAAAGTTGGTTGCATGTTAATTTCATAAAGACATTGTTTTATCACTTCCGGTACTTGTTACTGAAAGCGTATATCAAATCATTCTAACTTTCGGCAAAAAAAGCTTGTTACTTCATTAGAACGTGATGAAATTTGCCTGAAGTAAATTGGTTATCCTTATATTGCATTAAAAACGTCATATTCCCTTCCAAATAGCGTGTCAAACATCGTTTATTTTTGTAAATTTTTCTTCGTCCGCCATTTAAATTTTTGGGCAAATTATTGTTCAACTACGGATCGGAGTTTGGATTTCATCTGAAACGGACCAGCTATGACAGAAATCCGGATTCTTGCGATAATGAATTAAGGCATTAGACGGACGATCAAAAACAAATTTGTAAGCAATACGGAAAGGTAGCTTGTCTGCATATTGGACCATTGTCGAAATCCATGTCTTCCTTTGAGCCGTCCTCCTGTCAGCAGTGTTATCCGAGGTTAAAATTCCAATTACAAAAAGAGGCTTATATTCTGTATCTCTATTGTAAACAATTTGTTTTCCCGGGAATATTTCTACTTTTCGGCTTATTTGAAGTAAAAAAAAAAGGTCACAAAGAGAACGATGGCACATTTGATATATATTAAGTTCTTCCTCGGTTCCAACATGGTCCCTGAAAAAGCGGAAAAAACATGATCTTGATATGAGAATTTTGCAACGTATTATTTGACAAATGTTGTGTTGGTTTAGCAGAAGATTTGTTTTTAGCTATGTTTTCTGCCACCACCAGTATATATAGTTAAACGCTAAGTGCACCACTAGGTGAATCTATTAATTTGCATTTAATCTTTAAGCTCATACTCATAAAAGGGATGCAGGTCCATTGATTATTATTTAAACAGCCACAGAGTAGTTGTCTGTTAGGACGCTTTCCCGTTGCTAAGTTCATCAAAAATTTTGAATCATTCTTAAAAAAAAACCACAGGTCCAATTGGACCATTATCACATCCATTGCGAATAAGATTCAAACGTTTAATGCTGACTTTATCTTCAGTATGCTCGAGAATTTTAGCGATTGCAAATACTGCACAAACACTTGCAGGACTATTAACTTTGTTATTTAACTTTAATAGTACTAGACCATACCCGCGACATCGCGGGTCCGTGACTGAGGTAAAGAACCTACGCCTTATTTTTAGCCTGGATTTTTAGAATTCGTATTGTCATTGGGTAAAGTCACGCTGATTATAAGGTGCACAGTTATTCCCTGTATAATGACGAATTTCAGGTGTCATTATTACCCGTGTTTATAGCAAATACTGAATACATCGTTTGGTTGTGAGCCTGACAGAGGCGGAACCTACAGATTAGGTAACAGGGATCAGGTAGTTTTGTAACATATACTATTGAAATCGGTATCGGATTCAACTCGGAATTTGTTAATTATTGGCAATATTAATTATGTGGAAAACAAAAATGCCTGGAATAGTGTAATTTTTAATCTACACCATTGTCCTATATTGTTTATATATAAAGTTAAATTCTGCGGGCAGTACGTCGACTGAGCAAGCGCGAAAGCGTATAAGAGACGGATCGATAACGGTCTCCGAATTTGGATATTTTCTCAAAAAATTGTCGTTTTCTGTGGAAAAAAGATTGTTTCAAAGACAAATTTAGGAAGTACAAAACACTACATTTATACGTCATATCACAAATATTTCCAATTTTGTATGGTTTCAGAGGAGTTGCGGCTCAATGAAATCGGTCTCTTCCTTTAGTAGTATAGATATCAAAATTATTCTTTAATCGACGACTATTGACTATTGATCATAGACCATACAAAGACTTAATGCTCGACAAAATGCATTCCTAAAACCGTGGAATATTTACATGTCAAATACGACTCGAACTCTTTGTGACGCGGTCGATGTTCATAGATCCATAGATTGAAGCCTTGAAACATGACATCATACAACTCCCAATGGTGATCATTCCAATATGGTTTAAAGGGAAAATTCGCGGTTTTTGACTTATCATCTTATTATGTTTATAATATCATAAAAACATATTTACCAAGTTTTATCTAGATATGGACACTTATAAAAAAGAAAATTGGAAATTATTAATTTTATTTATGAGAATTTCCTGTCTATTGGGACGTACTTTTAAAATATTGCATGCCGGGAGTGGAATTAATTTCATTTTAAAGTCTTGTTCGTTAATCATCTAATAACGCAATTTAAAGCGCGTCGATGACTATTTTGCACAGCTATTAACCAACTAATAATTAAAAAAATAAAGCGAACAGCCGTGCAACTTTTTAAATTCTTAAGGTACATGCAGATATATTTTATGGAATTCTGATATGCTTTAAGTAATAAAAGTGATTCGTACAATAATATATTTTTGTAAAATATTATTTCCGACGGCTTTGTTGAACAAACATATATAACTGATAATGTAATGACAATGAATGAATGTTTTCTGACGTTTAATTAAGTCTAGCAAACATGCCCACTAGGACTGTGTAAATATAATGTGTGTATTATACTCTGACACTACCTGGTGAAGGCGTGGTTTAATTCACGATAATTAAAAGATTAGCATTTTGTAATTCTATTCTTTTGATCTTCACTCGAGTGTATTTTAGTCTCCAGGGTTCACCGCTCCAGGTGTGAACAACATCTCGTATGGATGATAAAAGAGAAGTGCGAGTTTGAGACACAAAAATAAAGAAAATAAATTAAAATGAAAAACCAATTGTTCACAGAACAATTTAAGGTCTTTCCACCAGTAAAGATCTATTTTGATATTAAAATATAAAAAATCAGTCTAAAATATCAGTTCCTATGGCTTTATGATGAATAAATATGAATTTAAAGCAAAGGTCAAAATCTAAAACGTCCTATTAACCTATCCCCTTGACTACAATTTCAAGGTCACAAACCAAGGACCTCAAATCAAAAGACCCTAGGTCTTTAATATGTTTGGTTAATGAGTTATACCACTTAACGCATAATTCTAAATATAAGATGGGCGAAAACTCCCATTTATTGTCTACGCACCCTTTCAACCAAAATTTATAAGTTACGACATGTCGCAACTAACAATTTAGTAAAAATAAGATGTCGATATGTTATACGGTTTTTGAAAAGAAGTGAGAATAAGCCAAAATCAAAATTTAGAATATGACCTTGACCTTTGACCTTGACCTAATTTTTTTTTTTTGGACCAAGGACCTTAAATCCAAAGATCCAAGGCCAGTATCACTTATGGTTTACCAGTTAGAAACGCATATCACTTATATCAAATACATAAGGGGGAATAACTCTCATATGGAGTCTCCGGATAGCTTCGGTCAAAATAAAAATCCCAATCCTGAAGATGTACCGAGCAATTTGGTAAAATAAATTTGTCGTAATATTTTACGGTTGCGAAGGAGTAGTGGTCACAAGAAAAGCAGTGTTTGGGGAGATAACTCTTACAACGTAAGGTATTTGGTTACGCGGTTGTCAGTTTTAAAAGCGTATAAACTATACGATATCATATTCCAAATATCTAAGAGACATCTTATGAAACAACAAAACTAATGTGGAAAGTGGAAAGACCTAATTATATGGGGAGGAAGATGGTGGCAAAATACCTGAATTGCCGAGGTATATTTTTTTTTATATTTTTCGTTAGCTCAGTTTAAAATAAATTTCGCCAGATGATTTTTTTTTGTAACAATGAAATACTGAATTAATTTTAATTGAATAATTTTATAAATATAATGGCCCAAAAAAGCGAGTGTATAAACAAAAAAAATGTACTATTTTAAAATTAGCAGCGGTAACTTTCAATATTTTAATGTGCATAGAAAATTATCAATTGAATTAATATAATTTGGACCGTCCAAAGCGATTTTCATTTACCTAATCGGTAATGCCCTTATCAAAATATTGCATATCTCACAACGTATACATACTTTAGAGGCTATTTGACCAAAGATGTTCAAAAAGTTAACAGAATCAATCTAAGGTCAACTTTGCCTTATTGGAATGGAGACAGATCGGAGGAATCAGATTTTTAATGTGCTTTATCATTTATCAGTGACTTATCATTTATTCATAAACCCACTCTAAACTGACAAGAATACTCCTTTATAGCGGACAAGCAGTATTTTTTTTTAATTTTTGTGATTTAATACCAAGAAAAAAAAATACTGAAATTAATATGATACTCAATATGTTTCCTGGAAAATATTCACATCCTCGTTCGGTCCGAAAATAAAATATGAATTTGGTATACAGAACATTCAGAAGTGTGAATGTCATAACCCTTGTTATATCAGAAATATGTATTGAACGCCATTATAAATGTGAACATGTATACGTAAGACCTCATGGGACGTCACATAACCACATACAGGTAATATACATGTAGCTCTGTAATACCCGGAAATGTCAAGGTAAATCACTACCTATACAGAATGTACCATGTCAAAGATATTCTGACGATCGTAAAGCATGACCATTCATGATCTAAGAGGAGTCTTGGGTGAGGGAACGATTTAAATTCCGAGTAGATTTTATTTATCAATTTGAATCACTAAACTAAAAAAATATTTTTTTACATCCAGGAACAGAATTCTTTTTGTAAATTCATGAATACAACGACCTTATTTTGTAACTTTCGATAGAAGTGACCTTTTTTTCAATTCTCTATTGAACCAATGCCTTATTAGTAAAGTTAGAATACAAAATTGACACTACAATCAAACAATTTATAACCCCCACCCCCCAAATAAATAGAAAAATAGAAAAAAAGAGATGAACGGTAAGTCACACCAGATTCAAATATTTAAATAGTTGATTGTTGTTAACCAGAGATGTGTACATGTATCTGCGGTTACTTATAAAAATGGCAGGAATATATATACTGCGGCACATATACATGTTCTAGGGAGTTGAATAATCCCTTCCTATCACAGCGTACATGCACGTATTTTAATGACTCTTGGTCAATAAGAGTTAATAAATAATAAGATGATAAACTTGGTCCGTCATTTCGATTAAGAATGACAATTGTATGTGAAATTCTGTAGTTGGTGAGCCATTCTCTGCCAGAAGTGCGACATTTCGTTTGTATATTTTCTCTTATTACTCTCATTTCGGGAATGGTTTATTCCCCCACAAGCTAAATAAATTAATCAATTGAATTGGCAACCATAACTGATAAAAAAACAAAAACAAAAAAAAGCATCCGTCACACTTCTAGCTGATCAGACGTTAATACACCTACTATCAGTCTATTCGAACTGAAGTTTCTTTATTTCTTCAAATAGGCTTTTTGGGGATCATTAGTGTACGTCCAGTGGTAAATATTACATGCATGTCGGGACAGGAAAATTAACAATAGGTATTATTAGAACCAGTGCTATTTCACCAGGTTCACATTATTATACATTATAACTAACAATTGTGAAGACGAATTTCTTAAACTGTTCTAGAACAATCTAAATGAAATATAAATTGTGATTTCACTATGTTCATAACTTCGACCAAAGCAAGTTAGATATAGATCTAAATTTAAATCAGATTGGTTCTGGATGTTTTTCTCTTTTATTCAATATATATTATACAGTTATTTAATATGTAACTATGCAATAGATCAAAATATATTTCCCGAGGTATGAAGATCAGCTCATTGTTCTATTGCCCGAAGCCAACGGCTGGGGGCAATAGAACAATGAGCTGATCTTCATACCGAGGGAAATATATTTTGATCTATTGCACTGTTACACATTCAATAACTGTTTTATTACCTAATACATACTGAGTCAGTTCTAACAAATTCTTAGATTCTTAGAAATAAAACACATGAAAGTAACAACCGTATTAATAATAATGTGTAAGGAGCATACATGTACAACCAATTCTTTAGAAATTCAATAAAACGAACATGAAATCAGAGTAATTTAAATAACAAGAAATCATTAAAGTCAACATATTAAATATTCTTCAAAATTTAACGGCTATACACATTTAATGGTAATAAATGTGGAAATCATTCACATTATGAAACACCAAATTATTGGGAACATTGAGTCTCCTCTCAGTTAATACTCTTGAGGTACTTTCACATCTTGACGCTATCGTTTTGACTGAATTGTCACTTAAAGTAGTTTTGTTATTTGTTGTAACTTCGGAAAGTGATTGCATTAATACATGTTCCTGTGAAGAAGACAACTCTAGGAAGTCCATGTCAGCTAGGTCTGTTTCAAGGTCAACAGGTCCTCTTTGGTCTTGCAGAACTGAAAGTAAGATACATTTGATGGTTAATGAAATGTAAAGGAACAACGCTATTCTAAATTTGTAAGCGACAAATGAGACAACCATCCAACCGAGATGAAAAATCCAACAGCCGAAGGCGACCCATGGGGAAGACTAACCCACACCACAGAGCAGGTTGTAACTGACCCCAAAATAATGTTACATGTTCCTTTTCAACAATTTTCTTGTGATTTATCATGTTAATGTGAATTTTGTTCTTTTTTTGTTTTTTTTCCTGGGTTACTTTATGACTATACATGTACTAAGATTCTACTGTAATATTATTAAGTACCTGGATTGATATTGTTCTGTTCAGCGTTATCCAAACGCGGGACTGCTAGATGGAGGTCTGCATGGTCATCTTTGGAAACCTTTGTTGTTGGTGCTTCAACATTTCCTGTAAAAGATTTATCAATTATTAGAAATATTTGTTTTTAAATTGCATTTCTAACATGATAACAAAGTAGTACATACAAGTATTCAACCTTATACAACTTGTTTACGACAATACAATGTATAATTCTAAATACCCCCGTCCTTGATTAATTGATTTTTATTTATTTGTCAGCTGTGATTTTTGTCACATTCTCTCATATCCATTTATTACCCTACATTTACATGTATAATAAGTTTCATTGTAATTACTGTACATTGTCACTCAAAGAAATGAAATTTTAAATTTTACATACCCACAGATTTTGAAATAGCATCACTGATACAACTTGACATTTTTCTTTTCTTTCCTTCATCTGTTCTCGAATAGCTTCTTATACTGTTCTCTGATCTATGTTCAGATACTGCCATTATGTCCCTAGCTTCAAAGCCATCTTGATCTAGTAATGTTATCGCTGTTGCTCGTAAACAATGATTTGTATACATTTTAGATAGTCCAAACTGTTCTCACATATCCTTCATTTTGTTACCTAGCGTGTTCCTTCCAACCGGAATCTTTTCATACCATATGTCATCTCCAGGTTTCAATTTATCTGAGTGTCTAGGACGCTGCCAAAAACAGTCCAATTCTATGTGTAAATGTGACATATATTTTTCGAGTGACTTGACTGGACAAAGCGGGTTCGACGGCGTAACAAACAGTCAGCCTCCCTGACTCTCTGTATCATAAGCTGAGTCACCTTTGTGATTTTTGGTAGAGTGGTCCCGTAATTGTACATACTTGGATGGCCCATAACCATAGAATTTAAAATCTGACTTCTTCAATTCTCTAAGGTTCTCCCGGCCACGATTGCAAAAGCATATCAAATAGTCTAAAAATACCTTGTTTTGTAAGCCACAAGGTGTATTAACATCCAGATATGTGTACATCTTCCCAAGATCTTCTTCACTAACCGGAGATTTATGGTTTGGTGCAGCAAGTCCCATTCCTTTCATTTTTACAAGCATAGCATCAAAAATAACATTTGCTGGTTTAAAAGCTGGATCATTGACAACATCAAACTCCCGGATCTCATCAATATGTTTCTGTATCCCGTAACGAATGCTTATCATGGATTTTTTTGAATAGTATTCTCCTTTCTTGTTTCTTACCGATGCGTAGAAATCTTTCAACGTCGAACACATTTCTTCCTTGGAGAACCTTTCGAAGTCATTGCATAATATGTGCTTTTGGTAACAGTAATCTCTGAGAACATTCATCGACATTTTTATCACATTTTTGTATTTCTAGCGTCCCTATTCTCAAGTAAATCATTTAGGTCTCCATCATCAACATTTGCAAACCGCTCCATCGCAGAAGTTATTTGCAGACGATCAAAACAATAAACCCAAGAACGCTTAAAAGACCCAATTTGTTTGGACAACATGAATACCTTTCAACTAATCAGATTTCAGAATAAGAGGTCATAACAGGTCAGTGCAATAGATTGCACACAGGTGCAATAGAACGATAATTTCCAGTGCAATAGACCATGGAACAAAAAATGGCAGAAAAATAGCAAATAATATAGAAATATTCATAAAACAGTAAATTACTCTTTATTAGGTAATAAATATATATATTAAATTGCGACTATCTATAGTTCTGTAACTTTCTATCTGTATAAACCAATGATCGACAAGTGCGTACATTTTTGTGTAATTAATATGTTATCAAAATTATATGTTTCAAAATGTCCATAATTATCGACATCGAGTATATACTTACTTTTCCCCAATTATACCATTGGAACATATCTGAATAGATTTTTATTTCATCAAATCTTTAGCTGGAATTATTTAGATTTTCATAAATATCATTCTTTACACCATAAATGTTATTCATAAACAAGTGTGTAAATGCGTAAAAACACATAAGAGTTTATTAGTGACTAGTATATCACTGTCGTACTCAAGACAAACAATATGTACACATGATGTATATTACACCTAATGGTTTTTAAATGGAAAGTTACCGGCCGTGTACACTGATACGCTAAGAAGTGAAGCGATGTATGAAACTGCATTATGTAATTGTGTAATAAGAGTTTTTAAGATCTTTTAAGCCCGAAAGAAAATCGCTTGAATACCTGGACATGTCACCTCACAATACCTGTGGGAATAATCCCTTTATCCATGCTGGTGATCAAATTAGGGAAGGATCGAATTTATTTAAATAAGTGTATTACAAAAAGGAATTATGAACAAATTAGATTTTCGAAAACAATTTTGCACGGAACACCTAATTATGACTTTAATAAACTTTGAGAGAACCCATAAAAGTAAATGCCCTTAACTAATTCCCCTATATATTTAATTGTTTCATAAACTTGGTAAAAAATTGAAAACGACAGTCCATAGTTATTTAAAAAAAAAATAGATATCAAATTGGCCGACTTTTCCGACTCTTAAACCTTTTTTAAAACATTTTTCCGTATCAAGTTAGTTAAAAAAAGTTTGCCGATGGGTAGCACAACCATGTCTGAAATCATTGTTTTTTTTTATGATGCTGGAAACTGTTTATACTTTTGTCATTACCTTATCGGATAAAACAACCATACGCTTGACACTCATTTACGACTACGTTAGTCCCTGCTTGTTTTGCTACTTTGTGGTTTATAGATATCACGTGGTTCCTTAAAACGGGAGGATGGCTACATGTAGAGAATTAATATTCTCAATTTAAAATCGATGGTGATCTCTTATTTAGGAGAATAAAACGTTAATATTTATGAATTGGTGCTTTTCTATACTTAATGAACATAATATCAATTTTTGATTTTTTTCGAAGTTTCCCTTTAAGTGTATTCTATGCTTGACGACGAGAAGGGTATCTCTTGTAGCTAGAACTAGACCCTTGGCAACTCCAAAATATTATTTTTTCCATGTCAGTTTGATTCGTATCTACTGTCCATAGGTTTTAAGGAACAACAGAAGCATAATCGGTTAAACCATCATTTGATAAAGCTTTGTTCAAAGATAGGCTATATAAATTTAGACGAGTAAGTGATTCATCTAGATAAAGGGTGCAAATACTAGGGAAATGATTTAAAAAGTTAAGCCCATGATCATCAAGAACATTTACATTTTTTTTTCAAGTTTGAAAGACATGTTATATGCTGAACAATTATATGATCTATTGTTGAAAAAGGACTATTTCAGCCCTGAAAAGTGTAAATAGGTCCTTTACAAAAGTCTCCGTGTTTTATTAAATCAAGGTTATCACATCTAAAACTCTTCGCAAAATTTTGCTTCGATCATTTGGAACACCGCTGAAACGTGGTCCTCGAATTTTTGCTTTAAAATCACAGGCAAAAATCACAATGTCATTCTGACTATATGGGTTAATATCCATAAGGCGCCTCAAAGTGAGGTACTAAACTATACATAGAAATAAAAAACCTCTATGCAATGAAATTGGACATGATGCTATTTTTAGTAATTAACTGATCTTAATCATTTGTGCTTTTTTTAACAGCAGAAGACTCTACTATACAGTTGTTAAAACTTTTGTAATATTAAATGTTTGTGCAGAACTGAATTACCAGAGAATTTATCTGTGTGAGAATAAGGACTTTTCGCTTACTGAATCGGCATCACGTGGGGCCTTTCGGGGTTGCCCAATTTGTGAAAAATTTTATCTCACTTCGTACCCCGAAAATTGTGTGAAAATGTCTCAGCTTCATAACAAGCCATCATACATATCCAAGTTTACGATATGGACAGAAGAATGGAAGAAAAGGCTACCATTGTCGCCTATGGGATATGAATTGCGCATCTTGACCCATATACGGAATACAGTTCATGCAGTAAATGGTCACATTCTTTAAACAATTCAACGGAGAGAGTAGAAGCAGGTATGCATACACAATTTCTTAATTTTGGTGTATACATATTTGCATGCGCCTGGAATAATTCAATTTCCTAACATATAAATCTTTTTGATTTCGCGTCATTCCTTCGTCGACATAAATTTACTGATCAGAAATTATATGTATTGCCCTACTTACTATGAGTGAACCAGAACCAGAATCGTCTTTACGAATTGAATGCAGTGAAGAACGTGAAGGGTTTACTCGATTTTTTTCATAAGGATTCATTAGTGTTGTTCACCCTGACATCGAAAAAACATGACGAAGAGTTCTTAAAGGAGATATACACAAGAAATGAAGCTGAAAGTTTTCCTCCGGTAAAACAGATTCCTTAATTCAGGTTCGACCCTAATGAAAGACAATATAAATTCAACGGGGAACATATCGTTCAAGTACAAAAGACCCTTAAATTCATGAAGAAAGACTACTCGGCTATAGCCATTGAGTATTTAGAAAACAGTACCGAGCCAATAAATGACGGGAGCGATGACGCAACCAAGTTATGACAAGCTGAATACAGGACTAAAGCAAAGAGAAGAGACAAAGCAAGAACTCGTTTTGATCCTTATAATCAAGAACAAGAGAGTTCTCCGTTAGTGACTGAAGATGAGCCGTTTCCGAATGGATTAAGGCTGTGAGGTTGTTGATACAAATCCGAATAAAAATACTGAATAGGTCTATGAATACCCATGCTACCTAAATCCATAAGTGTCCTTAAAACAACGTTATATTGCTGGGTCTTCCAAGTGCTCCACGAAACCTTTTCCTAAATCATTAACATCAATGTCATCAGCAATCAAAGCCGGGCTTCAAAGTTATTGTGAAACTATTCTAGAGGTGGCGTAAATCAGATGTGGATACTAAAAAATTCCAAAGATCCGTCAAGTGAGAGGTTTAGCTAGCTATAAAACCAGGTTTAATCCACCATTTTCTACATAAGGAAATGCCTTTACCAAGTCATGAATATGACAGTTGTTTTCCATTCGTTTGATGTGTTTGAGCTTTTGATTTTTCCATTTGATAAAAGACTTTCCGTTTTGATTTTTCCTTGGACTTCGATATTTTTGTTATTTTATTTTTTACATACAATCTAAGACTCTTTCATCTTGCAATAGTATTAAAACATTTGACTTTTCTACACTTTACACAAGTATTCCCTATTAAAAACTAAAAGACAAATTGAAAGAATTGGTCCTGCTTTGTTTCACAAAAAAGAATGACCAACGTAGATACAAGTATCTTGTCTTAGGGAGGGATAAATCGTACTTTGTAAAATACCACTCTGATTCAAACAAAAAATTCTCTGAAACTGACTGGGGTCCTCTTCTTGCCGACTTGTTCCTTTATTCATATGAGGCTGACTTTATACAGGAACTTCTAAGGAAGAAAGAAAAGAAGTTACCAGTATCCTTTAACTTTTCTTTCTGCTATATAGATGATGTTCTTTCACTAGGTAATGCAAAATTTGGTGACTATGTTGAATGCTTCTATCCCATCAAACTTGAGATAAAGGATACAACAGATACAGTTAAGTCTGCCTCATATCTTGAATTACATCTAGAAATTGACAATGAG